CGTTTTCTCCGATGGACAATCCTTTCCACGATGCCCTCGCCGAAGGCAGTTGAAGCATACATTGCGCTCACGAACCTTGGCTAGTCTATTGCTTTGAGATCCGGCAAGTGAAATTTGCATAACTCTTGCCACAGAAATCACACTTAGCTTCATTTCCAGAGGTGATGGCCGCATTGACCATCTGGGCGAACGACTTGAGTGCTGGTACTGGTTTGACCTGAGTTTGCTTGAGATTTGCACCGTTCCATGACGAAGCACTCCTCCTTTAGATACTTCGCCAGTCCTTCGTAGGTGGGCAGTTCTTGCTTTATGGTTGACTCCCAGCGTCTTCGAGTATCCTTTTCCAATGCTGTAGTTAGCGGATGTACCAGGAACAAATCTGATACACCCAGGAACTCCTGCTCGAGGAATTTCAAGCTTTCGATGTGTCTTGTGCACTCGTCCCCCAAATTACGCAGCTCGGTATGGCTCTCCTTGGTCATCTTCTTCAGTGTTAAGAGGCCATCGATGTGCTTGCCGATCGTGTGTCGCTTGTTTTCATACCTTTCCTCTAGTATCACCAAGCGTGGGCGTAGTTCCCTTCGTTGATGGTCTTGGCGTCCATCAATCCAGCTGCTGATCCCACCAGCGTGTTGTCCAGGTGATAAAGCTTCACTGCTGGGGGATCCGGTGCTTTGTCGACCAAATCTTTAGACCTGGCCTTGAACTTGGGCCATGTTTCGTATCGTCCGTCGAATGTAGGAATGGGCATCCTGAGGGGTTGTTGTGCGATCATTCGAGCTTGGGGATGTGCCCCCCCATTCTGATGATTTGCCCTACTGTGTTACCTGACTTATAACGAATATACACACTAAGATTATTTTACAGATTTCTGTAAAATTTTACCGATTTAATGTGAAAAATTCACAGATATCTGTGAAAAATTACAGGAAATCTGCGAAACTGTTTACCGAACGTTCAGCTGTTGAGATTTCGGTAAAATTTTATAGATTTCTGTAAAAATTTCTAAGTGTGTACGTTGTATACGAGTACCCCGAATACAACGTATAGTTCATCTAATTTAACATTGCAAATGCTATGCAAAATTAGACGAGTCATACGTTGTATTTGGGGTTCTCGTATACAACGTATATTCGTTATAAGCCAGGTAACACAGTAGCGTTCCTGTGCAGGTCAGTCTGTCGCTCTTCAAGGATCAGCGACACTTGATCGTACAGCTTTTCGAATGCAGCATAGTGTTCATCCTGAGCGAGCCTTCCATCTCCGGTAAGCAGTGCAAGAACTTTGTCATGGATATCGTTGTACTCCACGTACGCAGTTTCCACCTTGCGCTGATGGCCTTTAACTTGGGTCTCCGTGAATGCAGGAGCCTCATCATTTGAAGGATTAATTGAATTGAAAAATTTGGTTACCTTACCTTTTGTAAGGCCTCAGCAGATTCTGCTTTTTCTTTTCTTTCTTGCTCTTCGGATTCACCTGCCCAAGTGCAGTGATTCCAGACGTACTTGAAAGATCTGCCGGAACAACTTTAACATCCGGCATTTCACTGGGGACACATGATCACTTCAAGCCTTATGCTTAAGTTTAGAATGAAAGCAACCAAGTTTGCAATCATCTATACCACTTATCACTTTTCGTCACCATGACTACTCTTCTAATTCTGCTTCTGCTAATAGTCACGGCAGTCTTGGCGATTTGACTACGTTCCAAAATGGCAGCTCAGCACATGTATTTTGTTCAATTTCCATGGCAGCCGCCCATCATCTTGCACTTAACTTTTCCGTATTATTTCCAACAATATTTACTTCTAATCCGGCAGAATTCGCACTTCACTTAATCCACTTGATTATCCTGTTCGATTGGACCTAAATTATGTTGGATCAGTGGACTGTAACACCTCGTTACCAAACGTTCATGGAGCGGATTTAAGCTTTGGATGTCTTGACCGACGGAACTCTAAGCCAACGGAATTTGTCAGATCAGATACCAAACATCAACAGTTTCTCTTCACTACTTATATTTCCTCTAAATTAATTTAAGTAAAATAACTTCGTTCGTGTCGCTGTTTCATACTCTAATGGCGGACGATGGATCACCGGCTGACTGCTGGATGCTGCTCTCTGCTATTCGTCATCGTCCTCTTTTCTCCTCCACTCTCCACAAGTCGATTGGTACGCAAAGGTTGGTAGCGCCGCTGTTATTGCATGTGAAGACAAATCGTAGTAGTCGGGGGCAGGGTTGCTTCCACTCACTTGCTATAAAAACATATTTTTCGGAATTATGCAATCATTAGATGATAAAATGATATGTTGTACTTGTAAGTAACGAGAAGAGGGTTTAAAGAATGTGTTTGACTCATAAAACCTGTCAATTTTGCTTTCAGAGCGTCACAATAAGCGAGCTTATGATTCGTGAGCGTTCACTCAGAGTGAGCACTCACGAGTCGTAAAATCGCTTATTGTGACGCACTGAAAGCAATATTGACAGATTTTATGCGTCAAACACATACTTCACGTCCTCATCTTGTAACTTACAAGTACTAATTAGTATTATACTGTATCAGGATTTCAAAATTCAGAAAAACATTTTTTTATAGCAAGTGAGTGGAAGTAACCCTGGTCGGGGGTTCGATCGCTTCATTTGCCATAAAACATTCGAGCTGTCACATTGTATCTCGAACAAACAGAGTACACGCTATTTCAAAACTACCCAAAATTGGGTATAATCCACCCAGATCGGTCAAAACTGAACCTACCCAAAAATGGGTAAACTGTGTTGGGAGTGACAAGTTGACAAATGAACAAAATTGACATGAATCCGATCAACGTTGTAAATTTGTCAACTTGTTACTCCCAACCTGGAGGCAAGACAGCTTTCGATCACGAGTGAAATCGGAGTTAATTTTGAGTAGCTCTGAGCAACTCGCGTTGATCAATATATTCTACACATAGCAACCCGAATGTTATATTGAAAACAATGTTGAAACTGATGCTGTCAAGCAAAGTAAAGGTCCGTTTTGACTATCTGATTTCTTGGTCTGATTTAGACCGCCGCCATAATGAAAAATCTGCTCGAATTTACTTTCGACACACTTTGTCGATCCCCCCTGTTTGCTGGTGTTCACACTGCTTGCACATGTCGAAAGAGAACTGTCGATTCAAATTTCAAAACAAAACTGTATCAGGAATCAAAAGTAAATGCTTTCATAATAAACTATCGGAAAATTACTCTAGCTTCGGCAGGCGTATTTGATTTTATAATTTTAAATAAAATTAGAGGAAGACGGCGAACTTTGTGTAAAAGTATGAAATGGTTGCTCACGAGGAACACCAGCACGGATCTGGCTCATCTTGTCCTTCAAGAGCTGCAATATGAAGATGAAAATAGATTTCAAAACTTCACCAGGATGTAGATACCAACTTTCGACAAGTTAGTGGGAAAAGTACTCTATAGATCTACCTTGTTTGCTGTGCTACTACAAACAGAGAGTAGCAATTTCAAATTTGTATGTTTTGTGGAAGCTGACATTTGTGCCTTTGAAGTTTCACGCTAAGTCTTCCTTAGAGTATCACCTTAAGTTCTCAAAATTTATCTGAAAATATTTGAGCTTCCTTGAAGTTTTAAATGTCTCTCTGAAGATCTAAAAATTTCCCTGAAATCGTATAAATATTTGTTTTAAATCGTCGACCTTCCCTGAAGTTCTGCAAATTCCATCTGAGGTTCTAAAAATGTATCAGAAAATCTGCACACTTTCTTGAAGGTCTTAAAATTTATCTGAAGATCTATGACCATTCTTCTGGGGGTGCGACACATCTAAATCTCAATTTTAGGTGGTTGAAAAATCTCACACAAGCGAATCAATACACGACGAAACATCTTTTTTCATCTCTTGCATCTAAAGCCATCTACTCACATCGCTTTCCACCTTTTTGCAGGAAATCTTTAAAATCTTCATCAATAGAGTTGCCCCCTCGCCATTGTTGTGATTTTTTCATAAGTTCTGTATTTTTTTTTTCAAAGTTCTGTAGCTATGTTCTGAAGATCTACGAACTTTTCTGATGTTGAATAATTTTTCAGTAGATCTCCGAACTTCTATGGAATACTTTATATTTCACTGTAGATTCTTGGACTTGTCTGAAGTTATGCAAATTTCCCTGAAGATTTGCAAAATTTCGCTTATAGTTTTACAAATTGATCTGAAATGTTTTTAGCTTGCTTGAAGTTTTGATAATTTTTTTGAACATTTATCTTATGATCTTGTGATTTTTTTGTATAAGATTCTGCAAATTTCTTTTAATTTCTGTAAAATTTTCTGAAGTTTTGTAGTTCTGTTCTTAAGATTTACGAACTACCCTGAAGCTCAACAAATTTCTCAGTAGAGCTCCGAGCCTCTCTGAAGTTCTAAAAAAAATCTTAGTAGGCTCTAAGACCTGCTGTCTGGCATGCTTATTCTTATACAATACATGCTTCGTTTTATATAAACACTGTTTTGTTGACCATGCCATGATCAAAGCCATTACGGCATCTTTCGGCCAATCACACTGGAAATAAAAATCAGTCAAACCATACACAAATACATGAATAGTGAAAGAGGTTGACCTTCCCGAATAAAAAATACCATACCCGAACGATAACCCAAATGATTGAACTATTGCACAAGTGGTTTGGATGATACCCTGATCACGTCGTTAAGCAAAATCCGGAAATTTTAGAAAAAAAATCAATATTTTCACCTAACTTGCGGCTATTGCTGGATGAGTCGAATGAAAATTAAACGCAAACCTATTTCGTTCGACAAATCAAACGTCAAATCTAATCATCCTGTCGAAAAAGTGTGAACGCATCCAAACATTGCATCCGACAAAATTATCGAGCAGTTCGCTCGAATCAAACCAACAAATCAGATAGTCTAAACGTACCTTAAGTTGACGTGTTTTCCAGTTTTGATCGATGAGCCTCGAAGTAAGTATTGATTTATTCACTCTACTTTGTGACTGTACGGACGCAATACATCTTCCAGTGAATACATTCGCAGCGCATCCTGTGGCATTTCGGACGGACATTTTTCTCTAATTTTTTACTTTCCTTTCTGTGTCGTTTTAGTCTTTGTTGAGCAACTTTTCCCATCAAAATGTCTGAGCCAATCCGCGTAGTGGTGACTGGTGCTGCCGGTCAGATTGCCTACTCACTGCTATACATGATTGCCAAGGGTGATGTCTTTGGGCCGAACCAGCGATTGATTCTGCATTTATTGGACATTCCACCGATGATGGGCGTGCTCGAGGGTGTCGTCATGGAACTGGCCGACTGTGCGCTGCCCCTGCTGGCGTCCGTTATCCCAACCACGGATCCGGCCGTCGCCTTCAAGGATGTAGCGTCAGCTTTCCTGGTCGGCGCCATGCCTCGTAAGCAGGGTATGGAACGAAAGGATCTGCTATCGGCCAACGTGAAAATCTTCAAGGTTCAGGGTGAAGCACTGAACAACTACGCCCGGAAGGATGTCAAGGTGCTGGTCGTCGGTAATCCTGCCAACACGAACGCCCTGGTTTGCTCACACTACGCCCCATCGATCCCGAAGGAAAACTTCAGTGCCATGACCCGGCTGGATCAAAACCGTGCCCAGGCTCAGGTTGCTGCCCGGCTCGGTGTGGGCATTGCCCACGTGAAGAACGTCATCATCTGGGGTAACCACTCGTCCACGCAGTACCCGGATGCGAAGAATGCTACCGTTGAGCTGAACGGTGCCCAGAAGAGCGTGGTCGATGCCGTTGCCAACAACGACTACCTGAACGGAGAGTTTGTCGAGACCGTGCAGAAACGTGGTGCTTCCGTTATCGCTGCGCGCAAAATGTCATCGGCCATGTCGGCTGCCAAGGCTGCCAGTGACCATATGCGTGACTGGTTTGCCGGTACCAAGGACGGCCAGTACGTCTCGATGGGTGTTGTATCCGACGGAAGCTACGGTACCCCGAAGGACATTGTCTTCTCCTTCCCAGTGCACATCCAAAACGGTCAGTGGAAGATCGTTCAGGGACTGGCCGTCGATGACTTTGCCCGTGGCAAGCTAGATGCCACCGCCAAGGAGCTGCTCGAGGAAAAGGAGGAAGCCATGTCCGTTTGTGCTTCGGATTGACTAAATAAGCTGTAAAATGGAATGTTTGTAGAAACTTTGCGAATGAAAGTAAAAAATGCTCTATTATTTTTTGTTTTGTTTCCCAACACGGTGTGATTAATGTTTCTTCAAAAATTTTGTTTTACTGTTGTTACATTACACGTACTAAAAATTACTCAGCTGTACGAAAATCAACTCTTAGTAGGATGTTTCTGTACATCGTACTGCATTATCGGCAGCACCGTTAAAACGTTAAATAAACCTTTAGAGAAAGAATATTGAATATGCACGTAGACCAATTACAGCATTTTTGTTTATGAAAGTCAATTGGAAGTTTTTTATTTTATTTTGTTATTGCTTTGGCTTGGCCATCCATTTGTAGAAAATAAATGAACTTTATGAAACATAAAAAAAAAAAAAAGGAAACTTATAATTTATTCGAATTATATTCCAAAAGTGCAGAAGATTATTGTGTCGTTCCACTTACGCAGGTTTACTTTTGGGAAAAATCCAACTACCCCTTCAAAGTCGATGGAAGATTTTTATGGCGATTATGCCAAACAGCAAGATAAGCTCAACATCGACGATCGCCACCATCGTTAACACGTAGCAACTACATTCACGATGTTACTCGACCATTCTTTAGGAATTAGACGCTGGATATTTCATGAAATATTATACAGAAAACATGGGCGAAAAATTGAGGCAATAAACAGATGGTGACGGCACTGTATTTAGTTGTTGGCCATGGCATGTTTTTTTAATGTTAACAAACTCCACGAGGCTGGCCAGAGCTGACCTAATCTGGCCTGAAATGAGCAACTGCATAATATACCACAATCAACAGTGTCTAATTTGTGTGAAATATGAAATCTTGTGGATCATTACAACAAAACCCAACTCGTGTTGAAAACCAAATATGTTGTTTGTTTGTTTATTAATTTATTTGATAAGGCTCAACCGAATTAACTTTACAGAGCCGAGGATTCTTGGTCACTATACAATACATCTTAAAACTATAGTCAAAAGGTACAACATAATAAGCACTTTATCTTCCGCTATCCAAAAAGCCTCCTCCATGAGAACTGGAGCCGTGTCCAGTAGTTCCATTGTATGGCGGTTACGCCAACGAGGGTCAGAGCGCGTCAGCAATGGACGCAAAACGTGGTCAGCACTCACACACTCATCACGAAACGGTTGCTTTCCAAAGTCGACGACGCATCGACCGAAAGAACTGCTGATGAAGAACAATGAGAAGGACCACACCATGGTTGCTGTCGAGAAAACAGACGGTCGCGAGTGGCCTGCTTTTGTCGACAGCCGAGTGAACACTGAACCAAATATGTTGTCAGACGATATTTTCTTTGATTAGAAAATCGAGACTACTTTGTTTGTTTTTGAGTAAACGTGAGCAACTTAAATTTACTCACTGCAAATATATTTACTCTGAGCACAGCTGTCTTGCCCCCAGCTACCAACACAGTTTACCCATTTTTGGGTAGGTTCAGTTTTGACGGATCTGGGTAGTTTTGAAATAGCGTGTATGCCAAAAATAGCCCAATTGAATAGAATGATGTCTTGCTATAATACATACAGTGAATATATTGACATAACAATGAATAAAAGTACGCTTACAACATTCTTCACGATGTTAGCTACTGTGTTACCTGACTTATAACGAATATACGTTGTATACGAGTACCCCGAATACAACGCATGACTCGTCTAATTTTATTCGGAGTACTCGTATACAACGTATATTCGTAATAAGTCAGGTAACACAGTAGGGATCAATAATAAAATATAGATGTTATGCAAATACCTGAAGTAAAATTGTAACAACTAGTGATTAAGTAAAACTGTAAAACGATCTACACTGATTGACGACAAATAAATAAATATTTGGTGCAGGTGCTGGGTCAATTTTTTACGCAACACCCCTATCAAATAGTTTTTTTTTCTGTTTTCGCTTCCGAAATCGATATTTTTGAGAAGAATGTTCAAATGGTCAACATCATGCAATTTCCTGCCTGAATTAATCAAAATGCTTACCAGGTGAGAACTAACTTTATCAACCATTGAGCTTCCGTTTGCATAATTGATCAAAGTGACAAGCAGTCCTAGAACCGAATGCTGCACATGGCAAATGATCACACCTTCCTGCAGGGTCAATCGGATGAAACCAATAACTATCATCAGATTGGATAAATAGTATTAATTGGTGCATAAATTAAATCCGATCACTAGCCCAATTAGAAACACACAAGAACAAAGTCATTGAAACATCCACTCACTACGTTTGCAATCCTATCTCCTAACAAGTAGCCATGCATTTAATCCTTGAATCCTACTTGCATTCAGTGTCCAGTGCTGTGTGACAATTTTCCGCACCTCGCTTCGTCTATCTTGTTGTTCACCCCGAGTCTAAATAATCGATGGCACAGGGCAAAGGTTTCGAAACTACAGCTAAAGTACATACCCACAGCTGTGCTTATAATATGCGTTACCGCACCGCTTGACGAAACACATACCTCTTGGCAGGCAGGGAGGGATGGTTGTGGTGGCGAGGATGAATGAGTGGGGCCCACCGGCATGGTGGCCAGACCTACCGATTTTCGGGATGCTTACCGATTCACTGACGAAAAGTTAAAAACTACCGATTTTTCACTTTTCCTACCGAGAATCGCTGGTTTTTAGTAATAATGAAAAATGTTCAATACCTACCGTGCAGTCAGAATTAGCATTAGAATTATAAATATTGATTTCGATACGTTTAAAGCAGAAGAACTGAAGGACAGTGTATTGTTCTGAAGCAGAGCCCCCCCCCCCCCCCCACTCACAAGGGCTTGAAGTATCGTGAAAGCCTTCTTGACGACCTACCGATAACTACCGCTAAAAGTTTTGAGAAGCTACCGATAATGAAAAAAATAATCTGACCACCCTGCCCACCCGAACCGAGCCGGTATGAGAATGATGGTTATTGCGACTACTGGGCTTGACTGTAGAAGAGCACTACAGTAGTGCTTAAGCTTTTGCTTTTTTTCATTTGCTCAGAAAAAGGTCGACCGAGAGCTGGTACCTCAATTAATGTTAATTACCATTTATCGCAATATTTGCGTTAAATGACCGAGTGGGTATAGCCGCCCATGCTAAGAGCAACGCACAAAAACATGCCCTGTTTAGGACCTACCTACGTAGCTACCTTATGGAGGATCTGGACAAAATAAATTAATGTTCCGAAGGAAAATTGTTTTAGGGGCAAGAAAATATTGCCAAAATCCCGTAGGTGGCGAACCACAAAAACAAGGCAATCTTGTGGTTAGTATAGGTATGGTCTGCCGGGCTAAGTCATTAAAGTTGCATGCTATAAAAAAAAGAAACATGTATTTTGTTTCAACCTTTATGCTTCTAAACCTTATAGTATCGGCAGGCGTGAAGTTTTATTCTAATGACGAAAGGTTAAATGAGGTTTTGTGCGTTATTTGAAATCATTTCAACGCATGGGCTCCAACATGAAGGCAAGCGAATATGATCTAATTTACACTTAAATACCATCTTTAAAGCAATAGAGCGTTGCTGCAGCACTTGAAATTTGAGCGGCTCATGTTGTGCAAAGCTACACGGCTGATTAAACTAACTCAAACCAAGTTTCATTCACTCAAATTCGCAAAAAAAACGTAGGTTACTCATAAGTGCGCCCCACACGACCGAAGTTTCGTCAATATTTTCAACAATATGTTCGGGGGGTCATCAATACAGAGTCGCCCTCACTAACATTGTTGTAGCCGTTGGCATATTACGAATCAAATCACAACCACCTTGACAATAGATGCCAAAGAACAGGCCCCATCTGCTGCTGTAGTCAAACAGAGGGGGGAAAGAGGGGAAATAATAAAACATGAAATCAAACTTGCGTCAATATGCTCATCAATGTATTCGTCGTCAATATTTGTGCTTCAATATGATTGTCAACTTTTGAGTATTGACAATATTCTTGACCGTGTGGCGCTTGCTATAGACCAACCGGTGGAAACTAACGATTTAAAATTGGCTCACTACTTGACTAGTCTATTGGTCCCAAGTACATCTATAAGCGTACCCTATTCTAGTCTAAATTCTATTACTACACAATGTTTGTTTTGATTCGCTATGAAAGATTGACAGATAAAATGAGGGGTCCGGGACCGAAGATAGTACCAGAGCTGAGTCAAAAAGTTGAGCACGTTTCTTCGGGACCAACTAGTCTTAGAGTTACCCCTTTTCCTCTATTTTACAGAAATTTTTTTTTTTTGAATTTATGGAAAATCGTCTATTAGTATATTCCTAGGCTGAGTATATTTTTTGGCAATTTTCCTCATATTCGAGCAGATTTTTTTGAAGCAAAGCGAGGAAATTTTTAGACAGTCTATGAGTAACCTACGTTTTTTGCAATTTTTCAGTGAAAAACCACTCAATTTTGAGTCGATTTCAGCAGTTGTGTACGCCACCCGAATGCGTATTTTCCATCGCCCGGAGAAGAGTGAAGTAAATTTTCGAAATCAGCAATCACTCGCTTGAGCAAACAAGTCCACTGGTTTCTCGTTTGTCCTATTGTTCTGGCTGACGATGATGATTCGCTATCAAAAAGTCGCAAAAGGCATTTCATTATGGCGCATCACCATGCAGATGAAGACATTATCATTCTCATTCTGACACCACCCTCCACGGACGACCGTGATTCGTGGTGCCAATGATAAGATTTTGGAAGCCATAAGGTTAGCCGAAAACGGCTCCGTAGCGGATTGGCAATAATCGATTGTCACCGCCGGGCTTAGATAGGATGGCCATTTTGGTTCTGTAGAAGGAAGGAACTGTCAGTTTCGCGTTGTTTTTAGAACGGTCAGCTTTAAAACTTTTGTATCACAGTTAGATAAAAGTACCCAAAGATATTTTCATTCATATCGGCACTATAGTGCGGAAAGCCAAAAGTAAGTAAAGCGGATCAAAGTAGGTTTCATTAACTAGCCAGCAATCTCATTTCAAGGACTTGTTGGGCCTAAGATTGGGACAGTATTATTTGGGATGATATTATATCCATGTTCCTTAAAAAAAATTCATGTGAAAATGGTGAGTTAGTTTATCGTGCTCAGTTGTTACAGTAGTACGTATGTTGACAGTTGAATTTTCTTAGTAAAGACTGTATTCGAAAAAAATGCAACAGATAAAAATGATCACCAAAAA